CATAAGAACGGCCGTACTGGGGTCAGACCAAACGTCCATCCAGCCCAGTATCCTGTCTGCCGACAGTGGCCAATGCCAGGTGCCCCAGAGGGAGTGAACCTAACAGGCAATGATCAAGTGATCTCTCTCCTGCCATCCATCTCCACCCTCTGACAAACAGAGACTAGGGACACCATTCCTTACCCATCCTGGCTAATAGCCATTAATGGACTTAACCACCATGAATTTATCCAGTTCTCTTTTAAACGCTGTTATAGTCCTAGCCTTCACAACCTCCTCAGGCAAGGAGTTCCACAAGTTGACTGTGCGCTGTGTGAAGAAGAACTTCCTTGTATTTGTTTTAAACCTGCTGCCCATTAATTTCATTTGGTGACCCCTAGTTCTTCTATTATGGGACAAGTAAATAACTTTTCCTTATTCACTTTCTCCACATCACTCATGACTCGGGTGCCCTCTGACTGGCTGTGTCTGGATGTGCACAGCTGGCAGAGGGGCGGCTGGAGGCCGGGTACCAGGCGGCGCAGGAGCTGGTGCAGAGTCAGGCGCGTGGCACGCTGCAGGCCAGGCACCGGGCGGAGCGGCTGCGTGATGAGGCCAAGGCCCTCCTGCGGGATGCTCAGGGCAAGCTGCAGCGCCTGACAGGTGAGGAGTGGGGCAGGGGCACTGCGGGAACAGCCCTGGGCACTGCCCACACCAGGCTCCCGGCAGGGGAGGGCTCACCCTGCATTGTGTCTCCCCAGCGCTGGAGGGGTCGTACCAGGAGAACGAGCGGGTGCTGGAGGAGAAGGCAGCCCAGCTAGACGGGCTGGAGGCCAAGGTGAAGGGCATCGTGGGTGCCATCAACCAGCAGATCCAGATCTACAACACCTGCCAGTGACTCCGAGTGCCCACCGGCCTGTCCCCCCCGTCCTCCGACCCAGCCAGCCTGTCCCCATGCCCAGCCCCCTCTCCATGTCTGCCAGGGCCTGGGCTTCCCTGCCTGGCTCCGGCCCCCCTGGGAGAGCCCTGCCCCCTCGGCACCGTCACTGCTGGGGCTGTGCTCAGGACTCCCTCCTGCACAGCCTCGGGGCGTCCTGGGCCCCTGCCCTGGCCTGGCACGGTGCCCTTCCCACAGCCCAGGGCTCTGCCGCTGCCTCCAGCCGGGGGCACCAGGACCTTGGCCCAGCGCTAGGCTGGGGGGCTGAGGAGGACTCGCACCCTCCACAGCGGGCAGGGCACAGGGTCCGCGAGACGAGGTCTTGCAGCCTGTGGTGCTTTGCCCTGGCACATGGCGGGGGCAGCTTGCGTGTGAATAAAGCCCTCGCCTGGCACTCATGGCCTCTCTTTGTGGTTCATGGGCTGATGACAGACGGTACAGGACTGTCCCAGGCATACGCTGCCCTGGCACGCGTGCAGGGCCAATCCTGCGCCTGGCACACACTGCCCACCTTGCCCCCACCTGCTCTCATGCAAACCAAGGCAGCCGGCAGACTGCGTCCTCCACCACTGCTCCAGGCTGCTCGGAGCCGGACCCGGGCCCGGCCTGGGCACATGTGAGGGGAGGGAACATGGTGGGTTGGAAGCAGAGCTGCCAGTTGTGCACCCACCCCAGCCATGGCTGGTGCCTGGGGCCACCCGGCCACAGCACACTGCACACAGCCAGCACGGGCATACGACTGCCCCAGCCAGCGGGGCGGGGGGGAGCTGCCTGGCTGTGAGGGGGAGGGCAGCCCTTACACCCCAGCGCCTCTGGGCCCTCTAGATCCTCTCATAGAATCATAGAAGATCAGGGTTGGAAGGGACCTCAGGAGGTATCTAGTCCAACCCCCTGCTCAAAGCAGGACCAGTCCCCAACTAAATCATCCCAGCCAGGGCTTTGTCAAGCCTGACCTTAAAAACCTCTAAGGAAGGAGATTCCACCACCTCCCTAGGTAACCCATTCCAGTGCTTCACCACCCTCATAGTGAAATAGTTTTTCCTAATATCCAACCTAAACCTCCCCCACTGCAACTTGAGACCATTGCTCCTTGTTCTGTCATCTGCTACCACTGAGAACAGCCGAGCTCCATCCTCTTTGGAACCCCCTTTCAGGTAGTTGAAAGCAGCTATCAAATCCCCCCTCACTCTTCTCTTCTGCAGACTAAATAATAATAATAATTAATGGAGATATCCTATCTCCTAGGACTGGACGGGACCTTGAAAGGTCATTGAGTCCAGCCCCCTGCCTTCACTAGCAGGACCAAGTACTGATTTTGCCCCAGATCCCTAAGTGGCCCCCTCAAGGATTGAATTCACAGCCCTGGGTTTAGCAGGCCAATGCTCAAACCACTGAACTATCCCTCCCCCAGTTCCCTCAGCCTCTCCTCATAAGTCATGTGCTCCAGCCCCCTAATCATTTTTGTTGCCCTCCGCTGGACTCTCCAATTTTTCCACATCCTTCTTGTAGTGTGGAGCCCAAAACTGGACACAGTATTCCAGATGAGGCCTCACCAATGCCGAAGAGAGGGGAATGATCACGTCCCTCGATCTGCTGGCAATGCTCCTACTTATACAGCCCAATATGCCATTAGCCTTCTTGGCAACAAGGGCACGCTGTCGACTCATATCCAGCTTCTCGTCCACTGTAACCCCTAGGTCCTTTTCTGCAGAACTGCTGCCTAGCCACTCGGTCCCTAGTCTGTAACAGTGAACGGGATTCTTCTGTCCTAAGTGCAGGACTCCGCACTTGTCCTTGTTGAACCTCATCAGGTTTCTTTTGGCCCAAGCCTCCAATTTGTCTAGGTCCCTCTGTATCCTATCCCTACCCTCCAGCGTATCTACCACGCCTCCCAGTTTAGTGTCATCTGCAAACTTGCTAAGAGTGCAGTCCACGCCATCCTCCAGATCATTAATGAAGATATTGAACAAAACCGGCCCCAGGACCGACCCTTGGGGCACTCCGCTTGAAACTGGCTGCCAACTAGACATGGAGCCATTGATCACTACCCATTGAGCCCGACGATCTAGCCAGCTTTCTATCCACATAGCACATCCCCTCTGTCCAGCTCCCCGAAGGCCAGATACTCCTGTGTAGACCTGTGCCCACGAACAGCCCTACAACACAGATGTGCAGCTCATCTAGCCTGACCCCTACACAGCACAGGCCACAGAGCCTCACCCACCCCTCCGGGGCTAGACCCCAGCCTCTGGCTGAGTCACTGACGCCCTCAAATCCTAATTAAAGCCTTCCCGTGAGAGAGAGTCCACCACTGCCACTAGTTCAAAACAGCTGCAGGGGAAGGCGAAACTCCCCCAGGGGCTCTGCCAAGCTCACCCAGGGGAAAGTTCCTTCCTGACCCCAGATCTGGTGATTGGTTAGACCAGAGGTGGGCAAACTACAGCCCACGGGCTACATCTGGCCCGCGGGACCGTCCTGCCAGCCCCTGAGCTCCTGGCCCCAGGAGCAACGCTCTGGGCGGTGGGGCTG